TGCATACACACATACAGACATACATACATACATGCATGCATGCAATCATGCATACACACATACACACGTACATATTGACATTCCTACATAAACGGACAGGCAGACAGGCAGGAAGACGGAAAGGCAACACTGCGCGGAGATGCATCGGGTACATACACAGGAACTTATAGACATTACATCACACATCTTACTGATGTTCCAATCAAGGCAAATCAGCACAAGACATGGTGTAGGTGTTTGCTAAATCCAGTCTTGGGACCTCAAAATGAAAGTCCTTAACTCCAAACTGACAGTCCTCTGGAAGATGCCAGTCTCACGATAATAGTCCATGACGTTGTACGGCGGCTTCATCAAGGCTTGCCTTTCGGTTCAAGTTTCAGCACTCACACTCGGACATGCCTGGGCGAGGTTCCTGACAGGTGGCGAGAAGCGCATTGGATCGATAGTTTACACCTTCGATTTACCAACAGGGTAGGGCCCGCCACATCCTTCCAAAGCATGGTCTGATGGTTCAAGGGAGGAACCCTGCCGCGCTTCAGGGTTAGGAACCCAGATACGTTGCTCTGACAGTTGGGCCGAATTTTCTTTCGCGACACTGCCACCTATCTCTCGCGCTCCGAGTTACGAGCATGAAGCGCTGTATAGCGATGATCATGGCTTACGTCTTGTTTGGTCAGGATGGCTTTTTGGTGCGGATCAGCGCAAACGGCGCCGGATACCAGCGGAGGTTGCGGAAGTGGAGAAACAGCTATATGCATGCCCGCTTCAACATGAGCAGTAACGTCATAGAAGTGGCCACGGAGATGGTTGGGAGCATGGTTCAGTCTGAAACAGGGGGTTCGCAACATCTGGAAATCCTGTTCCGGGATGTGGCTCCTGCTGCCAAGGGCATTCCGATCGAACATGCCCGAAGCGGCCTGGCTTTCTTCTTCAGGGCATCTGCATCGGTGAAGCCTGCGAAGCAAAGACTGCCGTTGCAAGTGCGAAGCTGGACCAAAGTTTTGCCAGGGACTCTTGTGGCTTCGGAAATAGAGATGGCACCTTTGGATTTGCACTCCGGCAAGTGATTGATCTGAAACTGGTCTCGTCACGTGGGACTCATGCTGGTACTGATGAAGGATGTAGTATGCGTCTGCTTCGTCACCACATGCGGGTGGTGTGCTGTGATTGCCCAAACTTGGGGGGGCAAGTGCTGTGCTCTTTCAACTTTGCCTCGAGTCCTCGAGGCCGTAATGTCCTTCTGCATCTTGCTCGCTTTCGCCTTACACAGCATCTTAATCTGTCCAAATCCGGCAGCAACCTGAGACCGGTGAGGGGGCACCTTGAACATCTGCCCAGTCACTGTTTTGCTCGGCCTGAGAACAACCTTCTTCTTGACATCCATCCTTATGGTAGCCGATGGCGAGGCGCAAGAAAAAGGCTTCGCATGATTGCTGAGGTTCTGGCATCTTGGGGTCCTCAACATCAAGTTGCAACTCTCAAGCAATTGGTACTTCAATGTGCTTCGCGGCCAGGGCAGGCAAGACGCAGTTTGTACCCCGACTATCTGCGTCTCCACCGTATCGGTCTGTGAAAAAAACTCCTCGGAGCCAGTGTCTCAGCGGCCACTGACCAAAACAGTTTATCCCTGTATAAGTCTCTCCGAGATTCTCGCACCCGTACACGCTTTTTCTCCGGCTTTTCTGGTGAGCCTTTGCCACCTTTCCTCGGCACGGCATGCACGGATCGGTGTTCGCACTTTCAAAAAGTGACGCATTCAGTGCGCATGAGGGCGAGCTTCAGTCCAAGCATTTCTGGGCTCATGGAATGCATGGTTGGATCCATCGCAACAGCCACGGCTGGAAACGAAGTCGTCCAGTCTTCGCCATTTCCCTGCCAGGCAGCTGCCGATGTTCATGCTCCCACCTCCCTGCTGGCAACGGACCTGCACCGTCTTCACGAAGTCTAGGTTCATTGCCTGTTGGATCTTCCCAATCCTGAATAAAAGGAATACTGGAAAGTTGGTTGTTGCAGATCTTGCTTGCTTCAAGCAGACTCTAGCAAGTCAACGAGACTCCAGTCTGCTCGGAGTGCTACAATCCCTGAAGCGCAGGGTCATGCTTGCCGAAGGTACGGCATCGTATTTGCTGCAACACGTTATCGGGTGCTTGTGAGAACCGCGGCCCTGCGGCTCACCCAGCATCGTGTTCGTGTCCGCGGCCTGTGCCTTGGTCTACCACTCCAATTGGCTCTGCGTCTCCGCGCCAGGGATATATAAAGAGTACAAACCGCACCAGATCTGTTTGCTTCTCTGCCTCCGTGAGCTTCTGGACCTGCTCGAGAAGTGCCTGGCTCTCCGGGCGCCATCCGTGCAAAAGAGCTGGACTTGTAGCCCCCTAGCCCTAGCCCGCCCTAGCCCCTCCATATCTGTCTGCAGAGGCGGGGTGTGCAATGAAGATCCGCTTCCGTTGTTCGGCCTTGTCGTCGATCGGCAGAGGCTTGCGCAAGCGGTCTGCTACGAAGCCCAGTTCCGAAGCAAACCTTATCATCGCACACCAATTCCAATTTCGCGAACTCCGGCAATCTTTCGACTCCATCAGGTCTTTCAAAGTCTTCCAAGGAGCTCTTGATTCTTTGTCCCAGCCTGCTCCTGAAACTGCCCTACCTTCTCAGCAAGGTCTTTGGAGCTGGATTGCAACGTTTCGGACACCTGAAGGGACAGATAAAAGACAGGGACGACTGGGAAGGCTTCGAAGCTCACAAAAAGTCCGGCCTGGACAAGAATCTCTTCAGAGGCTTGGACTCTGTCGCGGAGCTTCTCGAGCTTGCTGTCCTTCAAACATTCTGAATAACACATGCAGAGCCAAGCGGACGGGCACAGCATTCGGGTCGGCTGACCTTTTCTTCCGATTGGCTCGACAACTTCTCGAGGGTGTTGCCTTTGTGGCACCCTAACACCCTAAACCCTAAACCTTAGAAAAAAAATCACCCCTGAACAGACTCTCCAGGTCCAAGTAGCTGATCAGCACGAGGCTCTCGTCCAGGCGCTGTGAAAGCATCCGAGAGCTCTCCGCATGGAGCATCTCACTGCTGCGAATCCTCAGCGAGGCTCCGGGATAAAGAGAAGCCGCACATGCAAAAAGCGCGGCAAAATTTCTTCCAAGAAGCTCATCAAGCACTGGAGTGAAATCAAACTTGCCTGCAGTCAAAGGCGGCTTGGGCCGCCAAATTGAATGTCCAAGTCTGGTTTGAGGGTGAAGTTGATTTCGCCCAGCAACTGAAGTCGACATAGCCGCACTTGGCCCAGTCCACCACCTTGTCCATCTTTTCATCCAGTCTTGACAGCTTGTCGTTGGCCGTCCGCTCACGTTGCTCCTAGGATCTTGGCTCACAAAGTCAGAGTGTGCAAATGGATGCAAGCCACTCACATGTATCATGTTGCTCCGTGCAAGCCAACCTTGAATGCCTGATGACGAGAGGTTCTCTATATACGTTGTTACATTCTACATGCTGTTCACTGCTCCATCACATTACACACAAAGTGGAAAGCATGCATTCCCAGAATCCAACATCCCAGCCACGTCCTCAGGATGGAGCTTGAATGTGAGAAACTCTCACTGCGAGATCCCTTCTGCTAGTCAGACTGAGCATGTTCAGAGTGAAACAGGCTCCTTGCGCAAGGCGGTCGCACTCTGGTCCACTTCTAGCCGCACCTCGCCAAGGATCTCGTGGCTCATGCTGCTCCTCAGGGGCCGAGCAAAGGCTCAGGATCGGCTCAGGCCAGAGCCCTAGTGCAGCATGGCCACATCTTGTTGGCGAAGCCCTTCTTGCAGATCCTGCATGGTCCCCAACATCGATGCAAGCCAAGCTCTCAGCTCGCAATCCAGCGGCTGCAGGAGAACCTATGCAGCCGAGGGTCTCGAGCACATCATGCCAGGCATTGTTGCGACGGCTGGAGGATGCCAGTGGAGACAACTGGGAGTCTTTGGATCCGGCCATCAAAGAGTCCTGCGACGGCCCATGGGGTCTACAGCAGTCTAGGCCCTAGGCAATACTACTGGGCTTTCGCAGTCCTCCATTGCGCCGTCTGCACAGTGCCCAAACGAGCAGTCGAAACTTCGGATGGACCGTGCTCCGAACGGGGCGTTCTAAGCAGCTTGCTGTACGGCTTTAAGCCAACACCCCTCGAACATGAGTTGACCGAGGTACCGCGACATGTCCATGTTGATTTCAGGCTTGGAGCTGTCGATATTCTCGACAGGCACGACTCAACAGCACAGGAAATGGCGACGTGACAGAAGCCCAAGCAACTAGATGGGTGATGTTGAATGCGGGCTGGAAGCGTAGCAACACATTCCTACGCACGAGCTCATCGTGGCATGCTCCAGACTTTCCCACCCTGCATCTGAAAACTTGTTCTGGCCTGAGTCGTGTGTGCACACCTTCTCGAAGGCACACACGCAGACAAAGGACCTCGACATAACCGAACCAGAGAATGGGGTCCAATGGGCCAGTGCCCTCTTCGAGGTGCTGTCCCATGGAAAAACGAAGCTCCGAAGCCTCGCACGATCCGTCCATGCAACCATGCAACCGTAACTAAAGGGTGGCCGACAGCGGCTGTAAAAGCACCCTGTACATTAACGTAGAGCTGGGAAGAACGTCCCTTTGTTGGCCGGGATTGAAGCCGCAGACTTGCGAGATCTACCCTGCAGATTTCTAGATTTCAGTCTGGCACCTATGTCCGCAGGGGAGTTGAACTTCTGAATCTGTCGCACTGATGCATCAGTCACGACCGGAAGGATCCACTCCATGGGCACCCCGGAGATGCTCTGGCTGGCCACCATCAACGCTCGCATGCGCTCCCGCTTCCACCGCTTCTTCCGCAAATGCGAGGCAGGAAGCCCCTCGCCTTGCAAGGTGGAAGAAATCCGCATCATCGGTAAAGTGCCCCTTTGCGGCTCCAAGGGCTCTGCACCCTTTGGTGTCGGTGCCGCGTCCGCGTCCCGCTCTTTGCTTGTCAGAACGGGGAGCCTCAAAGTAGAAGCGTCCAAGACCAGTGCGCTCAAGTCCTCATCCTGGTGGTCTTCTGCCTGGGCCGGGCCCACAAGTCGCGCTGACTTCTTCTGGCCCTTCGCTGGCTTGGAGCTTTGGGCCACATGTAAACTCGTCCGCCTTCCAGGCACTTCCAGTGGACCGGAGAAGTCAAAAGTCTGGGAGCCTCCCGGCAGCATTACCGACGGCTCTTTTGCGGAGTGGTCCTCCTTCGCCACATCCTGCACTGGGCTCTTCATCACGTGGCCAGAGGAGCTAAGGGAACGCGCGTCCGAAACTCTCGGCAGTGATGGCTGCAATTGGTGATGCTGCAATGCCGGCAATACCTCCGTCACACTTAGGCTCGGCGCCGGCAGCTGTGGGAGTGACGCAACTTCGACTTTAGCAGTAGCAGTTTGGTGAGCTTGCGCTGGTTCAGGAGACATGCTTGGACTGCTTGGATCGCCGGCATCCACGATGTCCTCAATAAGTTCTCGCGACACGCGACCTTGGCATCTCAGAGCAGGAGCTTGTTGATTTGTCGGAAGGAAGAAGTACCGAATCAAGTTGAACGCCTATCTGCAAAAAGCGAGCAGAACGACTTGGGCCAGCAACGTTTGCGCACGGCATTGTGCCACTGGGTCCACTCGGTCTGAACAGGTGCAGCCTGGCGCCATGACGATACCGGCAAATACAGACGGAATTCGTAGGATGAGCTTCTGTGAAGTATGAAACAGTGACAGTACGCTGCATGGCGCAACTGAAACTACCGGCCTGCGCAAACATCACAGCATGTCAAGCAATGTCAGGGAACTGCAGAACAGAAGCAGCCGTGGCTTGGTTGTAGTTGTAGCACTAGTAGCACAACACAACACCAATCCAACGCCAACACAACACTACACAACGCAATTGCGACGCAATGCCACAATGCAACGCAACGCAACCCAATGGCTCAATGCAGTGCCACCCAAAGTAACGCACAACACAACGAAACAAAACACAACACGACACAAACACACCATACCCATACCACAACATACTATACCAGACCGGACCAGATCACCCAGCGCAACATTACATACAACTAAAGGGCCTCAAGCTAAGAGAGGCTACCTAGATTCTGATCCCTCAACTGCTGAAACCCTTACTGCCCCACCTCCACGGCGAGCAGCTGCTCATGTAGAGCGGACAGACAGGAAAGAATTGTGGCGGCCAGTTCATGTGTCCTGCCGGTGGGAGGGTCCAAAGATGAAGGGAACATCATGGGCTGTTCTCGTGCAGACCATCACTGCCATGATCCTCGTCGAGTGAAAGTGTTGCGCCTCTTACATTCATCCTCCTAAGAGTAATGCTGTGACTTGCAGGCCGCCACTCCTTGCAAACAACAGAATATTACATCATCGTTGCTGTGACTGCTGCTGCCGCTGCTACAAGGACCAGCGCCGCCGCCACCACCACCACTACCACCACTACCACCAGCACCACCACACCACGATCACTACGACTACCACTGCCACGTACTGCCGTTCCAGCACCACACTTGTTCTAACGCGCCGTCGTCGCTGTGGCAGTCGGCATCAAGAGCTTTTTGCAATCAGGCTGGGCCGAAAAGCGAGTCATCTGCAAGCACATGACATGAGCGTCAGATCATCAACGTGAAGAGCACTCATCATCACCATCACATCACCATCACCATCGCCGTCGCCATCATCATTATCATCCTCATCATCTCCATGCATCCATCCATCCAGCCATCCATCCACGTCCGTACCCTCATCATGATCGTCATCCGCATCGTCACCCAACAGATTTCGCGAGCACCAGCACAAGTAACAGTTCCACTAGTCGTGCCCAGCCCCTTCGGCAAATGACACTGACCGGCGGCCATCACGAACATCATGAGGTTCGCAGTAGCAAGCAAGGCCGCGTACCGTCCAGTCAGGCCTGCCACTTCCCCATGCCCCGCCTGATGTTGGATTGCAAAGTGCTCTGGCAGCGGAGCAGGTTGCCGAGCCCTTGTGACCGCTCAGCAAACTCCTCCTTGCGGCAGAACAAGGCCTGCCGGGAGAGCTCAGCTGCACCTCCTTCCCTTCAACTCTCGCTTGTGCCGGGCCTTGCACATGGCCTCCCCAGCAAGAGGGAAGTTGTTGAGAAGGAGCTCGTCCGCCGAGTCGAAGATGGCCTTCAGGAACGGCAGTGATTTTATTCGGAACCTCTCCCTCCGAAGCGGCTCCGGGTCCCACGAGCCGAAGGCCTTGAAGCGTCGAGACTCCGGAGCCTCGGTGCTCCAGGGAAGGAACCGGATGTTCGAGTGTGTTCCAGTTCCGGCGTGGGCACCGCCGCGCCTTGAGCTTGGGGCGCCCCAGTCGTTTAAGAAAGCCCTCTTCCATCTGCTCCCGCGTGTCGTGGCGGCACTTTTCGGTTGCGACAGCACCTGAGAAGCCGACCAGTCTTATACCAGCGCACACAGAGAAACAAGGAAGCGTGTCCTTTTTTGGAAGAAAGGAAACATTGGCTGCTGCACTGGCTGCTGGCCAGCTGCGCAGGACCAGGCCGGCAATCCTCTTTCGCTCCTTGGACAAACTCGAGAAAACCCCTCAGAACCCTACAAGATTTCTCTACTGCGACTGTACTACCAACGGTCTCTGTCCTGGAAGACTTCAGAGACACGGGCAAAAATCGACTGCGCTGCCAAGTGGAAGAGCTCGCAACGTTTCGCCACATCCTTCTTCCGCAAATTATAATGCATACCTGACACGGAAAGATAGAATCCACCACTGCGCTGCTGATGGGTCTTGCAACAAGGATGGCATGTTGCAGCGACGCATCAAAATCCAGGCACGCGCTCGTCTGTAAGTCGAGCGAAGAAGTGCAATGTCCCTGGCAGGTTTCGTGGGCCTCAGACGATAGCATTCGGAAGGTATGGCATCCTCCTAAATCTTCAACCCTAAAGACCAGTTTCGCAGTCCGAGCGGCTCGGAGCTTGCCATTCGCGCTTCAAGCGCAGCGCCCGTTCCGGAGGCAACCTGTGCCCCCAGGGGCGGAGAGCTGGAAGTTGTCGGCCGCCAATGGACTCTTCATGTTAAGGGTGAAACATCTGCTTGAGCCCATATGGACACGGCCATAAGCGGCAAACATGCGATCACCTTGCACGGCATCAACAACCAAAAAATGAAAAGCTGCGGCCTGTCGGTTTTCTGGCCAACCCGTCTCCCCTCCTGGGACTGGCCCTGGGCTTCGTCCGTTGACGGTTCTTGCGCTGCCATGCAAGCGAACACCGGGGAGAATAGCTAGTTCCTTCGGGCTTCCTGGTCTTGGTTCAAGCCCGCCCTCCTACTCTTACTTACTGGTCGCGTTTAGGGCGTCTGATCTCCCCGCGCGCTTGGCAGGAGCACGTGGCGGATTCTGGCCACGGCCGGACAGTTGAAGCTTCAGGCTTCCAAACTGATCGTTTACCGCTTCTGTCCACCACGACAACTGGCGCGAATTGCAACGCTTGTCTACTGCCGTGCCTACTTCAACCGAAGACATAGCGGTACACAATTAGTATTACGCACACTGCGTGCAAAGCCTTGCCCATTGCTGCTTTACTCCGTTGTCACAACCACTAGCACGCAATGCTCTCTGATTGCCAGTCTCTTCATCCGGCTTTTGCTCTGCCTGAAGCTTGTTCCGGTCGCCATGGGCCACTGCGGCATCCCTGTGGCCCGTCAAAGTGAGACCTGGAGCCACCCCCGAGTTCTACACAGCCTCGCGCCCGAAGCATCCCGGGGCCCTGCTCCGTTGCCAGGACCAAGGAGCAATCAAAACAAGTTGAAGCGATTCGCAACGAACGAGGCATCCTCAATTAGGAAATCACGGGTATGGCAGGTGTGTTGCCATGAGTGAAAACAACATGATCAAGGCACGATGACCGCATCTTATGAGCCGAGATGACCTCCCTGTATCCTCCCAGACACAACTACAGCATCTTCACATGTTCTGCGTGGAAGGGTGTTGGCGGTGTGGTGCAGGGCCGGGGCTGCTTGCCGCGGGCCAAAGCCGGCCTGTTGGCAGGCGTCGGAAAACGCGAACATCGAAGCTCTTTGCTTCTCGGAAGATCGCGGCATGGCAAGGTTACTTCAGGCTTAGAGGGACGATGGCAACGGTCTTGGCGTTGGACTTCTCAGCTTCGACTGGCTTGGGGCATTGCCACTGCCGCTTGTTTGAATTGCAAGCCTGCTAAGGGCAGGCCATGCGCCCCTTGTCAGGGCTTGCACCCTTGGCCACCAAAGCGGCCTCGTCTCATGTTCCCGTCTTGCAAGGGCAGGAGGCAAAGGAGTCGCAGCTGCATGGAGAGCCAGCATTAGCCACTCCGTGCTTCACAGATCATCCTCAGCGACTTCCTGCCACAGCGTGTCTCCATATTGCTGAACCGACGTGCTACGACTTGAATCTTTGGAGCATGCTGTCGCACAACAGTGTCAGAATGCATAGTGTCATAACATGTCATAAGACGGCCAGTAGCATCGAGTGCAGTGGCAGACTAGGCGTGCAGAAAAGCAAAATGCGTCCTGATCCAGGCGCCCTCGACCCCTCCCACAAAGTGGCCGTTGCCCTCGGGATCTTTGCCTTCAGTGAACAAATCTCCCAAAAGAAAAACACGTCCAAAAAATACCCAAAAAATGAGAAAAAATGACTCGAGCCTCGGAAGGAGCGCACCTCGGCCAGGTGGCAAGGGAATCTTTTTTTTGGGGGGGTCTCTTCCGACTTTGTCCTGTGATGTTGACCAGGATTCTACCGTTTCCTTTGTGTGTTTGCAGTGCTTTTTTGCACGGATCCCGAAGGCTAACCCCCACACACACACACACACACACACACACACACACACTGTTCAGCCCAACCCAAGACTTTCCAGAGTAGCCTTCCTATCCCTGCACACCACTCTCGGCTAATCCAACTTTCAGAGCCGAGGGCATTGTAGTTGGAGCTTCGCAGGCGTCGCTCCATTTTCGACACCTGCAAAGGTTCCCCGGTTACCCCTGCACTCTTTCGCTATTGTAACTAGCTTACTTCCAGGTGATGCGTGCTGGTTCAAGTGATCTTTGTGACAATGTCATGTGGCGGTGGGGGTGGGGGTGGGGGTGGGAGTCGGGGTGGCGGTGGCGGTGGCGGTGGCGGTGGTGGTGGCGGTGGTGGCGGTGACTACAAGAACACACCAACCTAACCCTACATTGGCAGCGTGCCCGGCTGAAGAGAGCGCAAATTCCCACCCAGCTGAGACCCACACCCAATGCCACTGCATGATGTCGTCCTCCCGCCGGGCAATCCATGCGTCAGCATTACCCGCGGATTTCCCAGGCCCCCAACTCCAAACTGCGGCGGCAGCTTACAGCTTAATACGGTCCTCAACTTCGTGGTAGAAATGTAGCGGCCTCGGCACGACTACTCTTCCTAACTTGAAGGACACATGGCTGGGATCTCCGGCGTTTGGATCTGCGGGCCGTTCTCTTCAATGGGGGTGCAGGAGAGCAGGTGTCCCACCAAGCCAATGAAGCCACCCAACCTCCAAAGACGAAGGGGACACATCGGGAATAGGCGCCAGGATGGAAGTTACAGTGATTGGAACTACTGCCTCTTCGGATAAGTCAGCGCTGCCTCAGCTCGTTAGGAGAAGTTGATGCATGCAACGACATGGTCACTGGGAGAAGGGCATCCAGCGCCGTTACGCACCCCTGCGACTTGCCTCCCAGGATAATCCTGAGACGGGAATGCCGGAATGCAGTGTTTCCGGAGTCTGAAGCCGGGTTCGCTCTTCTCTAGCTGACTGCATGCCTCCTTTTCCCCACAGCCAAGCGAGGCTTGCTCGTATGTTCTTCCGGACTGCAGGAGTCTTTTGCAAAGTGTCTTCCTGTGGGCACGGGCCATGGGAGGACCTCTCAAAGGGCGTGTGCGACTCTCTCTTTTTGAACACAGTTAGCTGGGAGGGAAAATAGCTGGGAAGATGGGTCTGTGTCGCTCATTCGGCACTTTGCGACACACGAGCAATTGTGTTGACTGGGTTGGCATTCCCAACTCCTGCCCGACGATGGTCGGGAACCATGGCGAGGACATCTCTGTAAGTACATCGCGCTTTCGACACAGAGCCCTGTACAGATGCTTGCGAGGTGCAAGTTCATGACCGGGCTAAACGCAAGACGAGAAACACGCGTAGCCAGTCAGAATCCCAGACTTGCTATGCCAATCTGAGACTCATAATTCAGACCCCCAGCTCAAGTCCAAGCATAGACAATACTGCAACTCGGACGCGAGTCGGCTTAATGAAGGCCTGCATAGACCATGCTCACAACTTGTAGACATTCCTTCCGTCAAATTTGGATCATGCCTGGACCCAGCTTTACTCGGGCAAAGCTCTTGAAGGCTTCCCAGAGTTGGAGGCTAAAGGCCTTCAAACGAAAACAGCAGGCTTGTGGCTGTACATCGCCCGATGGAGGACGTTAAGGAGTCTCCTTTGTGGAAGGGGCTTGCGTCTCGCGCCTGAAGCTCACAAACACCCTTCCACTCACTCCGCACTTAAATCAGGGGGCCTTGTCGGCCGCAGCTGCGGTGCCCTGGTCAACTCCCTTCCGGGTCAGCCAAGCGCAGAACACGACTTTGCATCTGACATCAGGAACTTCTCCTTGGCGGTCCTCTCTTTCTGGGCCTCCTCCTGAGAGATGTGAGGACATGTGATGGCACCAAACACTCACGGAACTGCAGTCCTGTACCTTTGCCTCCAACACCTCTAAACTGTGGGCTCGTTGGACATCCGGCATGAAAGAAGCCTGGGAAGGTCTCTCGGAGAGCACGGGCTGCGCACTGCAAGAGGACGTTCTGTCTTGTGTCTGATCGAAACTGATTGGAAGAAATGCTGACCAGCAACATAGAAGGCCTCAATCGGTCCTGATTCCTGAGCGGCTGCGAAATACTTCAGATACCACCTTGGCTAGGCGAAGAAGGTAGGAAACTGCCAAGTTGGCTACTGACTCCTGATCCTTTGACTGAGCAGCGCCGTGAACTCCTGGAAGTCCACGCTGCCTCTGAAACGGCAGCAGGCGCGGGCCGAATGATCAAACCACTGCATCAGCTTACGCAAAGAAGGACGCCCAGGCGTGTTTCTTGCCGAGATTCCATTTCTGTCCCTGTCGATTTCGTGCCAGAATCTCTGCATCCGATGTGGTGGAAGATCCTTGAGGCTGCACGCACATCAAGAAGAGGCGACCACTAGAAAGGAAAGGGCACTGTCGTTCACAGCCAGCGGTCTCCGGCACTTGCCACCTGGTGACCAAGGACCAGGACAGCAACATGCTGTCCACTTCTTCAAGCTTCAGAATCGCGAGCAAGTTTCTGCTGCAATTCGGCTTCTTGGGACCCTGTGACTCATCTATGATACGCATGGTCTCTGCCTGTGGCAGCTTCTTCTTGGCGTGACAAGCATCTGAGGGCTGTCTCATGTTACAATGTTCCCACTCGAGGATTGGTGTTGCGTCGCCGAGCTGACGGTAGAACAAACACTTCCGCATCCTCAAACGTGTGAGCGGGTTAGCCCCGCCATCCGCAACACGTCGTGCATGAATGGCTACGCCCCTGAGGCCCTGTTGCTCGTGTGCCTGACGAACGTCCTCCTACAGTACCCACTGTCGGCTCTGCAGCTTCTAAGGCTGGGGCAAAAAAACCAACCAGGCAGCACAGCGCAGCACAGTACAGCACAGCACACCCACGAGCATAGGAGTCAATGCGGCAATCGCAACTGCGACGGCAGTCGATCGCTGTGTTGGTCGAGGAGGGCCAGTTGCAACTGTGGGTAGGTGGTCCCGGCTTCCAGGTATTTCCAGGTAATGCAAGACAGTGGTCAACGAGGAGGATGTGAGCAGGAGATCCAGGGTGTGCACGGCCTGCCAGTCCCGCACAACATGTGGCTGTGCAGCAGCGGCCAGGGCAATGGTCCAGAGATCGCGACCGTGTGCTGGGACGGCAGGCGGCGCTCAACGCTGTTGTTGGACAAGCAGTGTACGGAACGGGATAGTCTTGTTTGCTCTTTGCTCGCTTGGCTTCCGTTCTCTGCTTGACGAACCCAGGCTGCCTAGCATAACGTCACCTGTGGTGCCGGGGTGCTCCAAAAAGCACTCCTGACGCCGAGGCACAGATTTGCGGGGACAGTGTAGCAACTTCTGGATCATGTTCTCGAACTCGTTGTACTCAATGACACCTGGCATGAGCCAAGCCATGCCAGACCCTTTGCACTTGCCCTGGCAGCTGAAAGGTGCCTGACTTGTCGAGATCGAAGTTGTCAAACTGCGCCTTGACCCTGTCAAGATCAATGCATGAGCACCTCGGCTTGTGCATCCGCCAGAACAGAAGTGCCCTGTGCACCGAAGGCTAAGATCGGAGCTGATACTTTTTGGCAAGCTCCAGTGTTAGATGATCTCCCTTGTCATAACCTCCTCTCAGCCGGAGAGGGCCAGCAGAAAGCAGACCCCAAACTTTGTGCAGTTGCAGGGTTGTCCTGTCGGCGAGGCCTGCAGTGAGAACATATGGTCCCGGTACCTGGGTCGTGGGCCATCGCTTTCACATCGCTTCAGGGAACAAACGGACGACGCCAAGCATGCCAAAAGCCAAGGCACCAAGATAGGAAGCGCCGCGTGTTCATCGGCCCAGTCCCTGCCTCTCCACGGCCCGCGGCACATCATGGTGGAGTCGTTCAGCGGGCCTGGCACTCTTCGTAGGCGTCATGAAGCATGTGATCCGAGATCTGCTTGATGTCGAAAACGCGCAGCAAGAAGTTACCTCAGGCCCGGAAGCCCGACCCCAAGAGCTCGAACTCAGATGACGAGCGCAGCCAGGCAGCGGAAGCTGTCAAGATCCATGCCTGCGGACTTGTTGCGGTCAACCCACGGGCATTCTGCCAATCCCAAAAGCCACGGTCTTCTTTCGCTGACTCTCGCGCTCGCACAGGCAAGGCTCCACGACAACTGGTCCGAGAAGAAACAAAGATCACCAAAAGGTAGCTATTGCAATTGTCGTCGTGGGGAGGGGGGGCGTCTGTATAAACCTATGAAAGAGCCCCAAGGTCCTACGGCCTCCTCCAATAGATTGGGGCTGTCTATAGGGAAGTCTACTCCGCCAATCCCAGCCCCGCCAATCCCAACCCTCTTCCCCACCCGCCTACTCCTTCCCCCACCCGTTCGCTTCGCTCTCCCTCACTGTTGCTTCCATATTTCCGCCATTCTTATTTCTTTCTTAGTTGTACTAGTTAAGAGCGGCAATCATCGCTATGCTACAAGCCTAAGATCTTCGACCCAAAAAACAAGCCCATTTATTTTCATTTCTTGCCCATTTTCAACTCCGAATTTCTGAGCCTACTTTTCATTTTTATTACTTGTTTTGCCTCGTCTCTTTCTTCCACCATCAGACATGAGACACCCACAAGTTATCTACAGCTTAAAAGCCCTAAAGGGAATCATCACCACCACATTCACCACGAGCTGCAGAGCCCATGTCGCACACTGCGGGGCGTTCCCTCTGACGGGTCAGTTCGAGCATGCATAAGAGGAGTCAGGCATGGCTCAGTCGTTGAAAGTTTGCAGCTCCAAAGGGCGAGCTGCAAGTCAACAGCTGCTCATCAGTGACTTCGTGCGAAAGCATTCTCCTTCCAGGCCGCACCACCCGTTCTGGAGAGGTTTCTCGCTAACCGCCGCCAGTGTTGCCTTCAGTTTGCTGCTGCAAACGAATTCGCGCATCACGGTCCCTGGCCTCTTGCTCGCCTCGCCTCGCCCGCACGCGCCGATGCTGCTCCTGATTTTGCGCTGTGCGCCCTTCTGGCACGTCTGTTCTGCTGCACGTCCGCCAGATCCTCGCCGAACTTCGGAACTGGACAGTCGGATCGGCTGTTGTCGACTTTGCCAGCACCTTCTTGCGGCGTGCTTTCTCTTTAGCTGCCCTACTTTCCCGCGAAGACAACAAGTACAGGCACGGCCCTGAACTTGTCCTCCTGGGCAATGGTGCAAGCAGCACGTTTTGTGCACAGGCCTCCGCCTATTCGTTGACAGTGCTACATGGCTTTCCCAAACACGCGGTTCGGCCACACGAATGCATCTGTTGCATGTTGTTCTGCTCTGTTCACTCGCACACGGCAGGCGGGTCGGCTATTCAACGTTGCACACTCTACCGACTCTGGCCAAGAGAAAGTTTGGCCCAAGCTTACGCATCGACCTGAGCTGTAGATCTGCTACATGGCATTATATAGCTAGTTACACGGCCCGAGCATCCGGTGCAAACTGCGGCACACGGCACAGCGTTTTTCAACGGGCACTCGAGCCAAACATCAACACGACAACTGCGTCTTCACCTGCTAACACTGCTAACACTTGGCATACTAACGAACTGACGAGTGCAAGGCAGCAATTCTTGTCTGCTGATGGCATGTGCTGCTCGATCCTGCAGTACTGTCCTGTAACTGGCATTCATGTTCTTGCATGACATGTCGGTTGTTCTCGGCCACGGCCATGGGACCTAGTCGGTTTGAGAACTACGACGCCTCCATTTGCGAGCTTGGCGCTCCCCCGACACTCCTCCACAGCGAACTTCACCTCAGAGACTCTGCCAAAGGCTGCATGCTACAAGAACTCATCCATCTGCCACAGCCAACATTGGCGGGTCACTTCGTGAAAGTCCAATTGGAGCTGTCGGGCGAGCATCAATGCTTGCGTGTTCGTATCCTGAAGACCAAACAAGGCCAAAAGACGACCGACATGACACAGAGCTTGAGCAAAGCATCGACAAGGGCCGGGAGGGTGGACCGCCGCTGGAATGTGTCTGAATGCACCTGGGTAGAATGGGTGCGCAATCAGACAGCCTGTGGGCGATTCGTCCGGGCCGCGAGCCGCCGGCTCCGGGCTGTAGCTGCCTCGAGACGGAAGCCACAGAGACTCTGGAAGTCGGCGGCGCTGTGTCTGTTGCGGTCGCCGGGGTCGCTGCCATCGTCGGGTCGCCGAGATGGCCGGGCGGCACCGGCGCTGGGGCTGGGCGGCAGCAAGTGCCGCCTCAAGTCTCTCAGGCTGCGCGGTCTGCGTGAATCTGATGGCAGCCGGGGACCTGTTGGAAGCCAGGCTTCCTCTGAACGCATGGGTCGAACCCGATGTCGCCAGCTGCCTCCTCGTTCTGTCAGGTGTGGGATCAAGAGATGCAAGCTGCTGTTCGAGGAAATTGCAAGAGTCATCTGAGGGCTGTTCCCCATACTGTAGTCGCCCCTGACCCATGAGCCATAGACCCACTGCACATCTGCGCTTAGCTAAAGGCAGCTCAGATCCCTGCTCCGTTCTTCGTCGCCCCACGCGGGCCTGGCGCAGACTCGTGGCAAAAGAAGAAGAGTGCCCTTTCTCTTCTCCCCCACATCCACGCCAAGATGCAGAACCCTTCGAGACGACCTTCTCCGCCTGCTCGCAGCTGAAAGGCAATCGCGCTTTTCGGATCACTCCTCTCATCATGCAGATTGCATGTGGCCAAGCCACTTCCGCCTCCATGGGGTATCAAACGAGAGGCAACACGAGGCACGAGGAGTTTGAAGCTAGATCCGGAGATGGCTTTGATCTGGAAATGGCTTCGAGAGGTCAAAAGTTCAGCAAAGATGTAGACTTCTGATTCCTATTTTGACCAAGGCACCGATCACTGCGTCCGCCCAGCTCTTCTGCCTGAATGGGAGAGTGGCGACACGTCGTCGATGTTCCGCAATGTGCTGCACCCTTGGCTGACCAAAGCCCTTAGCCGCGTGCCTCGCGAGCGATGATCTCATGAAGTGATTCTTGCGTTCGGTGCAAGGAGTCGATATCAATGGCATCCTCTGGAACGTGAAGAGCAAAGAAGCTTTGGAAGACATCGCTCTGCAGCCTCTTTGCGACCACCGCGGTTGCTGATGTAGTCGTACCTATCAGGTCCCGGCAGCTGGACAGCACAATGACTTGAATGTGGAGCCCAGGTGCCAGGAGTTGAACTTCTCCAATCTCCAACGGCCCCCCTTCACATCCCGGCTCTTCACCTGTGCACAGAACGAACCGCGACAAGTGCGGGGAAGCCTTGAGCCGACCTTGGACCACCAGGTGTCGAAGCAGCTGATCTCGGCGCACGACTTTGCTACAGATATAACTTGGCAGTGTCTTCTGATTCTTGCTCTTCGGTTTGTTCCGTTCTGTCTCGTTCTCTCCAGTTCTCACCGCACCTCACGGAGCGGTGCCGTTGGAATGAGCACCTGCACCGGCAGGGGGGGGGTCACCGGAAGGGAGCAGGCCCTGTGCTTGCCTTGAGAGCCGCGCTCCCATCATGGAAGTAGTGAGGCCTCTTCCGGCGGAGCAAAGCAAAAACATCTCCCGAGACGGGCACCCTGAGCCCTGCCTGTCGGCATATCCTGAGAGATACACAACCTCAGGCCCTGCCATCCTGCAACTCTCAGAGAGAAAACCCCGACTTAGAGCTGCACTCATCGCGACTTCCCCCATCCCGTGCAGGAAGATTAAGGTGTATCGGGGCCTCGCTTGAACGCAGGACGGGAAAAGCGCCCAGGACAATGCAATGTGGATCAGTCGAGCAGCAAAGTCGGAGAAGCCACTGGCTTCATGACAACAGCGGGCAGCAAGTCGGCCTGCTTCCGAACGACCTGAGTGAACTCCGAAGACCAAGCAATCCGACCGGGTCGCCGTGGGGGCTTGGGGACTGCGACTACGCCCCCGCCTTGATGCGCTTCCGTTTGTCGACTGCCTGCCCACATGAAGTCAGTGGCTCGTTTTCTGTGGGCGACACATGGGTGCGACATGGAAAGGGCGCGTGAGTGAGGGTCACTACCGAAGCACCCACCTGGGCCCCAAAGTCAAGACCCCTCCCCCGCCAGGTGTGCTATATCAATCCATCATCTCCTTCCGGGCAGCATTGGTGCGCGCTGTCGGCGCCTGTTGTCGACGGCTGTGTGCCGTGACGTGAAAGCGTCCGCTGGAAAGCTGCCTTGCTTCTCCTCGCCTTCGGGAAGAATCGGCAAAGCAGGAGCTGGAAACTTGCTCACCCTTTCCACCTCTGCTTCTCAACAGCTGTAGACATCTTCTTGGTCAGGAGCTGTCGATCAATGATGACCTCCAAAAGGGCAAGAAATTATGTCTGCGACTCTTGCAAAGCATTACAAAGCATAACCATGGACTTGCAGATTTCGGCCTTGTCTTCGGAATCGTACTTCTGTACGTGAACACGGAATGCGGCCCAATAGGAATGCCAGGACCTGCCCGCTTGCCAGCATTCTCAACTGGCACTGGCAGCTCGAGAACTCGAGCGCCCGGCACAATGCTGGCAACTCGCAGCGGCATCCTTGGCCGACACGGCCCACACTCATCCGAAGTCAAGTCAGGACGGATGACTTGGATGGCCTGCCAAGCCGTGTCTCACGATAGCCTTTGAGGTTGCTCACCTCCCAGCCGCCGTGCTGGGATGGATCCTGTCAGAGAACCCCAAAGCAGCCACTCCATCCAATTGTGGGTGACTTTTCTCTTTTGCCTAGCCGGAGGCGCTCTCTGGTCAGAAGTTGGTGAAGATCCCAGAAAAGAAAGACCCGGCCATGTCCCTCACCACCTCTGCAGTCGAGGGAGGAGGGAACTGCGGCGGAGCCGTGCGCCTCTCAAACAGGCAAACGGCCCAAGCCTTCCGAATCACTGAGCTGAAGCCCTCTTGGAGGGGTAGGCTTTGCAGCTTCTCTGCCAGGTCCAGGACGTTTTCCGCCTCGAGCAAGTCCTCGCGATGTTCCAGCAACAAGGCCACGCAAGCGTAGCCTGGAAGCTCGAAGCGGTTCGGGTCTGCTAGGAAGGCGTCCCACCACATCACGGCGTCACCCAAGGACTCCGGCGAAGCTTCGGCGAACAGCAGCATGAACCATCTCAGAACGACAACGCCGGGCTCAAACTCTAAGGCCGCAAAGTGGCCCGAAAGCTCAGCATCATACCTGCTCAGAACACTGCTACGAGTTCCGACCAAGCCATGTACAAACGCCGACGTACGCTCAACGTTTGTCATTCGAGTCTTCAACTCGGCAACAAGCGCAGCAAAACACCAATATGAATCCGCATCTGAATAATCGCCATCTTGGCTCAAAACATGGACGATGATGGCGGCCATGTCGCTCATTCCTTTCACATAATCTAAACCCTCGACAACCAGAAACAGGAAGACAATTGAAACCAGAGATTCAGCCTTCACACCAACCTGACATCTGCGAAGCGTAAGGTCGACTTCGTCCTTCACAGTGTCCAACATCTCGCTTTGACGCGGGTCCTCCGACTTCAGTGTTCCTGTCGAGTCCAGGAACTCGGCCAATCGCTCATGAAATTCACTGCGTTTGCGCTGGAGAATCGCCCCCCAGTGGGTGTGCCCTCCGGGAGGCAAATACCCCAGAAGCGCCTTCCAACACTGTGCCCGCAATTCGGGCTGAATGCCACGAGAGCACAGAGCACGAGTCGCACTTAGATGCCCTTCAGTGATGGCGGTTTCCAGTTCCCTGCCACGCAGGCGTAGCTTCTGGAGCAAGCTCTCCACGTCATCGTCTTCGATGCTCGACGCATAAATCGTTCTTGCCAGTAGGTCCACGGCCTCCCCGGGGGGCACGGCATATTTGACAGCCAGCTGTGCCCACAAGTCGGCGATGCCCCCGCTGCGGAACCGGCGCACCACTGCATTGATGCTTGACAGATTTGAAGGGTTTCTAGCTCTATAAAAACCGATCAAGACCGCTCTCAGTGAAAGGTCCTCTGCGGAAAAATCCAGATCTGCAGGTGGCACACTGGAGGCCACACTCTCGAGGCCTGTCTCGTCCTCGATGGAAGCGAGTCCAGCTTCAGCTTCACCGGCACCGGGTTGCTTGGGAGCCGTCGGACCTTCGGGCAGCCCGTCATCCAAGAGGCTTGCAAAGAAGACATCATCGTCTTCAAAGCTGCTACTCTGGGCCATGCCCAGGATTCGCCTGAAAATGCTCTCAACTACAGTAATCTGCGTGTCGCAATCACTGGTTATGCATGTGAAGCTACAGGTCGGGTCAAGTGTTGTCAATGTTCAAGGATTTTGGATCTGTTGCTTTGAGCCGGGCACGCCTTTGAGGAAAATAAGTGGGTCACGGCCACGATGGACACTTCACGGTACATTGACATGCGCTGCGTCTTGACTCGGCTGCAGGCCTGGAAGCGGATTCCCATCCGCAGGCGCAGCGGCGCACTCCGACTCAGCTGGCGAAACGCACGACCTCAGATCCCAGACTACTTGCAGCAAGCCATGATGATATGCACCTGGCAGCTGCTTTGGAGTTGCTTTGCTGGTGGGAGCTGGCGCAGGGCTTCTGTGGTTTTTTTGCCTTGCAAGCACGCAGGTGAGACACTAAACAATACAAAACCTAGGTCGGCTCAGATGGCAGACAAAAATTCGAATATTCACAACCATGCGACAGCATGTCATAGCACGCGATTGAAATTCGTCAAGGCTACCATCGAAGGGGTAGCAGCGACTAGTCATCAGACTTTATGGGTGAGTATGGGAGGGCACCCTCCAGCGCGTCTGGATCAGGCGTTGGAGGAGCCCCCATTCTGCTTGTCTCATTTCCTTACAGGACACGAACAAAGCAACTTGGACAGTGATGTTGCGAGGCTCTGGTTATGAACCCAGAAAAGAACAAGTCCAGCCCACCACCTCACATGAGTGATTCTGGGCTTCGCCAAGGTGCGGTTCATGGATTCTTGGGTAAGCTTCATCATCTCTTCCTCGTCGTCCAGCATCTCAATACCCTTCTTCCGAACCATTTCGGCTCCCTTCAACTCTTCTGGTGTCTCGGCGTGATTGGCCTTGGTCTTAATCTACTCACTGATTTCATCCAGCCTACTTCGGCGGCAGACGCATGAGGTGCTGTATTGCACGTCAAAAACGGGACGAAGTGCTCCCATAGCATGCATCTACACGCGCGCCAATATCGGAGAAGTTTATGGGCTCCTTGCCCCCGCCATCTAGTGCGACAATGCAAACTTTTCGGCTGCATCCATGCTTAAAAGCACAATCTGCTGTCAACTGCCCGCACCTGCACGAGCCACAGTGTAAGCGATCCACGCTTCCGGAAGTAGATTACACTCTAGTGCTGCGTCAATTTCCAAGTCCTGTCATAGACAGCAACCAGAAGAAGGCCAGTTCGCAGGAGAAGAGATGCAAGGCGCACACACACACACACACACGTTGAACAAGTCAGGGAGCAAGATTCTCGAAGATTTTCCGCAGCATCGCGGCCTTCTCTTTCCTCTTCTCACATCTATCTTCGTAGAGTACCTGGCAGGCGAGACAGTCAATGAGATGCCACGTGCCTGATACGGACATCCCCTTAAGGGATTCTCAGGTCAGGCCTCCGACTTGTCGGTGGCTTCTTTGACAGCATTGATCAAGCCTTGCTTGGGGACCTTCCGGATCTCCCGGTCTCAACAGGCAGGGCTTTGGCTTCAACCGCGCCTTCTTCGGATCCGTCGCAAAGAGGCCGCGATTCTTAGAAAGCAGGGGGCCGCAGGACCAGTCGATGTCCTTGCCATCGAGGTCTGCCACTGCCGCCCCTGACTCCATCGCCACGAGAACGCCTGCAATCGGAATGGGCCGACCCGTCGTCTCAAAGCCGGAGATGCCTAGAACCATGCTTCATTGCTGCAGCTAACTAGCCTGCTGCATGTTCTGTGACCTTGAGGCTCGCGGACTTGTCATATAGCCCTTGGGTGATTGTCCAAGCCACATCCTGCAATCGGCAGCTCAATCATACGAGCAGGAAGGAGCCAACCACCGTGCAGCTCAGGCAGCATCATGACATCATGCAACATCATGCCTATTCTGATGCTTCCGCGGCTCCTCATCTCCGCGAGCCAGCCAACAGAACTTCAGCGCGTTGTTGACGAAGTGGAACTTTGCAAACTCCGAGCCAAGCAGCTTCGCGATTCGCTCGGAGTCCAGGAAGATGTCCTGGCGCATCCGTGCATGCTGTGCGATGCGCAGCTGCTCCGTTCCAAGCATATCGTAGAGGCCATCGTTGCCACGCTTGATCTTCTGTGAGACATCCAGCTTCAAGGACTTGCCCTTCAGTCCATACCGGCCCAGGTAGATTCCGGTCTGCCTTTCCATGATGACGCACTGCGTCCATGCCCCCTGTCCTTTAACAGCATAGAAGATGCTGCTGCCTGACGGGTGGCTTGTGGTGCGGCTCGGATGGTCGAAGCTGAGCATGGGGCAGCCAACGACACTTACAATTGGCTCACCCCCTTTCATCAGGCACAGCGTGCTGCAGAACTGTTTGGCGTCACGAAACTCGGTGGCTGTGTCCACAGGATTGAAAACCCAATATCTGTCAGGGGCAGTCTCTGCATCCGCTGGATACGATTGGCAGAGGCCATGCCACTTTGACGCACTTGCAGCATCTGCCTCGGGAATCAAGTCGAAGCTCGAGAGGAAAGATGCCACAGCCTCCGCAAACTTCTCATCGTTTGACAAGAGCTCGGGGTTCTGGTCGGATATGACCACGTCCTCGGGGAACTTCTCCTTCAACATCTTCAGGATATAGCATGTCACAGCAGCTGCTGGCATTGTGGTTTCCTCCCGGACATAGTTCTCTTCCAGCTTGTAACCATACAAACCGACGGTTGATTTGTCCTTGACATCCTCCAGGATGAGTGTCCCTAGGCAGAGCATGTGTAGGACCTCCACCATGGCCTCCATGGCAGCTTCCAACTCCTTGCCAAACTCTCCCTCGAGGAGTTCTGCGGGGACCACTTCGGGGACCGTCTTGTCAGCCCCGATGATCTTCTGCCCGTACATGCTCATTGCCAGTGCTGCCTGCCGGTCAGGCTGGCTCGCTTTCTTCGCCTGCCGCACGCCACCAGGCTCGGCAGCTCTCGCGATGCGCTCCCGCCTTGTCTGCCTCGCTGCGAGGACAGGGGCAACGCCGGCAACAAGCCCGGCAGCTTGGCATCTTCCAAAGGAGCGCTCGGCTCGAGGAATCCCCTGTAGTCGAAGTCGAAGGGGCTTGCCCGCAATCGGCGCCTTTGCGTGCGGAGCCCCGGTGGCAGCTATGGACACTGCCATGTCTAGCACGGCTGCCTAGAGCCGTGCAGGATGTTTTTGTTCAACGCAGCTCGAGCCGTAAGCAGATGCAAGAAAGGTCTCACAGTGCCTATAATAACATGCAGACACACGCAGTGACAGGGACCACTGGACTGCATTGCAACCGGTTCTCTGCGGCCGCGGGCCAAGCATCAAATCCGAAGCTCGCTCTGCCCATTGGTTCAAAGCCTGCAGCCGCTTCATTGCTAAGCCTCACTTCGCACCAGACAGTTCTGCCCTTTCCGGCCTTTCCGGCTGCTGCAGACCTGGACAAGACCCAGGTCCGACCCATCTTTTTTTGTCTGAGGCTTCAGCCTTAACCACGCCCGAACGGAGGAGAGGGACAGCACCTCCCAGAAGCGAGACGTCACAAATCCGACGAGAGTTTTTTGACTTTCAGAAGCTGGGAGGCGCGCTGTCCGGTCGTCTCCGCTCTCCAGTTCGGAATCCCTGGTCTTGCCTTGACACGCATGCGACGGTCAGAGGTGCTGCTTTCTAAACCCCAGTGCTGGAGCCCGGGCGCTTCCAGAGCTTCGGCAAGGCTGCCCGCAATGCGGCGATGTGCGGCAGCGCCGATGCCCCCAGGACCCTCCCGGCTCCGCTCACTGTGCGCTCACTGCGTGCCCCTGCGTGTTGCAGCCACTGTGGGTCTTGGCTTGGGCCTCCCGGTCAGCCTCAAGGCTCTGGAACCTGCCGGCCGACGGACCGCAGAGCCTTTCCGCTGCTTCACCACCGGTAAGCGTCCTCGGCCAAAGATCCCAGGGACCCCACAAGAAGATGGAAGAGCTGTGAGACACTGTGAGACCTGATCCAAAGGTCGTGGCGGCACTGGAAAGCACGAATGCCCATGGCCTGTGCAGAACATGCCAGAATGCAAGCACATCAGTGTATCTTGCACCCTTCCCGTGCCTGAGCAGCGATTGTGTGAGAACAAGCGGGGCAGCACTGTGGACGGGGGGCTATGATGACCCTGTCTCGAAGGGCTGATGACAGCTATTGTAATGTATCAGTGCAAAGAATTGGGGCCGTGCTTGAAAATCGCCGTCAGTGACCCCAAATCTGCCAGCTTGCCTTCTCGAGCCGAGACATGTGCAGGGCCGCTTTTGTCCAGGACTGCAGGGCCTGGCGGAACCTGGACATGCTCGAATATCCCCGGCTGACCCAGAGGCAGGAGCGCCGTGTTGGGGGGCTCTCGCATGATCCAGGTCTCGTGAAGACGGTACACCGAGTCGCAAGCTTTTTTTTCTGAACAGACGGCTGCGCAAAGCAGAAGCGATCAGCAGCCGCTGATCAACGCCTCCCACATCGAAAGGCCAAGCTTCTGTGATTCACCGGACGCTTCCCTCGTGCCATCCATGGCTGGCCTGTTGCTATCTCCTTCGAGACCGGGATCTCTTGTCTCGGGAGCGAGACCGCCGCCTGTCAAGGAGCAGACTGCCAGCCGGCGCTAGTGCTGTCAAGGGCTGGCCTGTCGCGGTCTTTGTCCTGGCTCACGAGTATGGAGAACACCGACAAAATAAGCGCAAGCCATCGCAGTCCCGATCTCGATCTTTGTCACGTCGATCTCTGTCCGGGCTCTTCCGGTCTTTGCGATCCCGGTCCTCGCGCCCTGACATGCCAAAACATGCACAGTCATGGCGTCACACAGCTCTCGCCTCCCCGGGAAGTTTCCCCACGCGCAGCACGCTGAGCCTTAGTGAAAGCCCCGTCTGCCTTGTTTGCTTCGGTGGGTCTATATTGAGGACTCGGCGTTGTCCAAATAACTTCCGGGCGCAGGCTGCCCAGGCTTGCCCAGGGACTGGCCTTCACCAAGCTTCCTGAAAAAGCACAAGTCATGCGTCCCTAGCCAGCAGAGCGCGAAGTCACCAATCTTCGGTCGCTTGCTTTGCTTCTGTGGAAGAGTTGCGATGTATGACCGAGCGCGGCAGGTTCGAAATCGGCCACGATGTATATAGCACCAAAACCCTGCAGTAAGACAAGACCAACACCTGGAAGTATGACTTGCCACGGTTCAGAAGAAGCTTGCCTGGTCTCGGTGGTTGTTTCCGAGCCGGTTGGCCGTGATTGGCCCGGAACAACCGTACTGCACACAGTGATTTGGTCTAACCGTACTACGGGGTCGCGACAATCGCACTGTTTGTCCTCGCGACATCTCGTCACAGTTTTCGTTTTCGGGCTGGGATCGTCGTCCCCAAGCGAAAGCTGCCGCAAATGTTGGGCCGTGCCAACCAAACACCCAAACCAAACGAGGGCACTGGGCGAGCGATGCCACGATCCGCATGAAAGCCAGTGCTTCCACACACCAAAGCCGCCTCAGGCCATGGTCCTCCGAAGCCTCCACCAAGCTGGAAAGCCGCAGGTTCCCCAGCAAGAACATGCGGGGAGGCAGCACCACTATCATTAGCGAATAGCCCGACAGTCCTGAGAAGCATCATTGCCATGGCCGAGGGCCTATTCGACACCTCAAGGTGCCTCTCGATTTCGATCAAGTACCTGCCAAAAGAAGCCGGCATCATCACGGTACTCTGAAGGCCTACGGTCGCGTTGGGGCACTCTTTCCGCCGTGCCTCAGATACGATCCAAAATTGCGACATCCGGCAGGGAACCCTCAGTGAAAGCCTACTCCTGACTTGCAAATGGTGAAATTAGGCAGCTTTTGCTTTCAAAGGGTTGATGTAATCAAGTTGAATGCAAGAAAGACCTTGAAAGACTCCAGTCTGTCTTTCTCTGTGGACTGTCTCACCCGGATCGAGGCACGTCGTCATAGCGCGCCAAGATGTCCGCAAGCTTCGACTCGGCCTTCGCTCGTTCAGCGGTCATCGTGTGATGGTGACAGAACAGATGACGACGATGGGGAGGTGAGGTGTGAAGATGAAGCTGAAAAGACTGAAGAACACGAAAACGCTCACTATGGCAGTGAAGCTGGTGCCGAAGATGCGAAGATGATGAATGACCACACGTGCCACTGCTGAGACAGGAACTTGCCTAGTTACATACTTGTTGTTCGCTACTTGCGATCTGCATGTTCCCCAATGAAGTTGTTCAAGAAGAGGTTGCACACAAAAAAACACCTGAATCTCGGGGCCTGCTCGTCCAGCTTGTACTTCTTGGACACCGCGGCGAGGTCCTGGGTCGCATACCGGCGAAGTCGAAGCTCAAACGTGCCGCGCTGGCGACTGCCCACGGCCACGGCGCGTCCTTGTCGGCCTTCACCTGGCTCAGCGGACACAAGTCGAGAGCTTGAAGCTCTGAAAGCTCAGGCGCACCTTGCCAACAAAGGTGCCTTCCTCCATCTCGCGCATTTTTACAACCAGCAACCCAGCCGGACTGTTGGCGCCTTTCAACGGGAAGTCGATTGCCATGCTTGCCATGGAAACGATTCAAGCTGCAGAGGTGGGAACGCTCCAGCACATCATACAAGCGCTCCATGTCTTCGACGAAGGTCTCTTGCCGATTCCTGGAAACAGCGGAGCAAGGCGCTTTGCAGGAATTGAGCGCAACCAGGACACTTGAAAAACTTCAGGCGCTTGCTTCATGATGTCACTCAGGCGCCGGGCGTGCCGCTCCTCTAAGCTGGTCTGACATTCGGAAGACATGGGCACCAATGTTTTGGATGTCCTCTATATGGAAATAGTCGCACAGCTCCTGCACGTCTGGATCCTTGCTTCGGCCAACATTGCAGCAGCACAATAAACTCCAACAGCTACATACGAGAACCCGTGGTTTCACGCAAAACGAATGAAGTCTGCTGCTGGCAGACTCGCAGACGTAAACTTCAGGTCCCGGCGATTAAATTGCTGTCAACTTCTTCTGCTGCTGTGGGGCCCCCCTGGATGGAAAAATGACCCGAAAGCATTGTGGACCCTTTGGCAACTGGTGGGATAATCACGCTTGCCTGTTGAATCGCAGCTGATGGCTGCGCTGGGTTTGCCAACGTAGCCAATATCAGCGGGTTGGCAGTGAGCCTCACACGCAGGAGAATTCCTCGTCGGGCTTTCACGCTTGGCTGCTCAAGTCACCGGGGTGGCAGCAAGGGATTGGCGGCAAGCAGTGGATTTCCTGCAAGCAAACCTGTCAGGCAGGAAGCTGCCGCACCAACCACAAATCGCACGTGCTGCTACGAACAGTTTCTTCCACAAAACTGCAACTGGTCAACTCTCGCAGCACATGAAAATCTTCGCGGCACTATACTGGACTATCTTGATTAACGTTGGCGACTGCACTATTGCGCATTCACAGCAGTTCATTCATGCCTACTTGGACCATGCCATGCGACAGCCACCTGCCAAACCGCCAGCATTGGGCGGTGGCATCGTCCCAGGTGCTATGAAGGCGGCCTGAATGTGAAACAAAAGGTGGTGCTGCGCACAGGAACCCAACTCTTGAATGCGTCGTCCTGACCTGTTGCCCACCGGGTGGCGGCGGTGCTGGAGGAGGCGGCGCTTCCTCCAGTCAGAAACGATCGGGCAAAAACCAGCTGAACCAAATTCCTGGCAAGACTTGCTTACAAGACTTGCTTAGACGTGCTTCTTCGGATCTGCTGCTTACACGCAAGCACAGATGGCAACACTGAGCGCAAACGATAGAAAGTGAGACAAGACAAACTTTGAGTTCGCCCTCCACAAACATGCGAGAGGCGCCTCGCCATGTTTCTTCGTCCGACCCATGATTGTCGCCGCCAGCCGGCGGGGAAGGACTGTTGAGCCGCTGCGACAATTTCCGTACAAGACCACAACAACATTTCTTCAAGAACATGTTTTACGACAGATTCGTCTTATCTTGCCTTTCCTGGCACACCGCTCTTATTTGTCACTCGCGAGCCGTGCTCTCAAGGTCAGAGCGCCAAGTCCGCAACGTCGCCGAGCAATTTGGAGCTTGCTCTACCGGCCTTCGTGCCCAGCCGACGACAGCAGCTTGAGAGCTCTTGTATGCATTCGCCAGTGGGCGACGTCCACCTGTTTCGATGCCGAACGGCTAAGCCTAACCTATGCATTTTTTGCCGTCATGACGGAAAGTGGATGCTACGGGGCTTGGCAGGCATTTTCGAGCGCAGGCAAATGTCCAGCCGCAAGTTCGCTCGCCCTGGGAGGCACTCCGCATCGCGGGGTCCGCACACAGAGCTCGGAGGCGGACGAGATGGCGAACGCCATGCGCCGCTGGGAACGGACACGGCCGAGGTCTCGGAGCAGCTGGTGCGCACCGGCACTCCACCGTCCGCCGACCTCACTCCCGAGCACCACGAGTTGTTGAGGGCCGCCGTTCAGTTCGGGGTAGGCAGCTCTCTTTCGGCGCTCCGCGACCCGCAAGGCGGCTCCGTCGTGTGCAGCAGCGCAGGGCTGCGGCAGACCTGTGCGTGTCAGCGTCGACACAGTTGTGTGGCGTCGTAGCACACCACCTGCCCATCCGGACCCACGGCCTCCCGAGCCACACGCACCCTCGCGCGCTCCACGATCTTCGCCCTGCAATCTATCAAACCAGTGCGAGTGCAAGCGAGGGCGTGGTCGCCAAAAGCGTCTACTTCTCCTCCACTGGCAGCGTGAGGCGCAGGCGGCGGCGCAGGGCCAAAAGCAAAGCTTTGGGGCGGAAGCGTGCAGGCTGGCTCACAAGGTCTGGCAGTCAACCAAGCACCGGCCTGTGGGCCAGACTGTGACCGGAGAAGGGCGCAAGCGGAAGGGGACAAGGAAGGCAGCAGCGTGCGTTCGCGAAAGTAAGAGGTTCGAATACGCGATGCACAGCACTGCCATCCATCTGGCCAGTTTCCCTAGCCGGTCACGCGAAGTGGACGGGCTCCCGCTCCGATTGCTTCCCGAGAAGGCCAACCATGCCAACCCAGGCTGTCTCGGGAACACCTGCCGAGGCGCGAGCACACGTGTCGAGGGCACACCACCCGGGCCTTCCTCGCTTGGCATTGGCGCGTGCCGGCTCGACGTCCCCGGCGAGTGGGAGGCGAGCCCGCACAGCTGCTGCGGCCAGCGCCCCAGCGTAAGACTCGAGCAGTGCTGACTGCGCTGCCGCTGACAGGTAACCGTCGAGGCCCATGCAGAGAAGCATGCTCGCTCGCAGCGGCATAGGCGCGTCGGGCAGTGGCCTGGGGTGCCATCATCGCACTCGTGAGCGCCGCTGGGACCGCCCCACGTGGGGACGCAAAAGGCGTGGTAGCGCTGAGCGAACCCATGTCCGCTGGTGGGTCGCTCTGTGCGACCGGCCGGGCAATGGGGGAATCTGTAAGACGACGTGGAAAAATGGTGGCAACGACTCCCTTCGCGCGACGGTCATTGAATCTTCGGGTCACCACCGCTTCCGTTGAATGTCGACAGGTCAACAAGAACATACCGAGCCGGCCATATAAGGGGCCTCTGAACGAGATCACGTGCTATGGACCCTACTGGCATTATGGCTTGGCTGTCTCAGGCGTGCGGGGTTGGTGTGTTGAAGGATCGGCCTTGAATCGAATACATCCTGCCGACTGTAACTATCAATGCTTCTTGGCTATATCCCAAACGAAGGAATCCAGCCTGCACCCGGCACGCAGTTGCTCAAGTGGATTTTAAAGGCCCGGGTCTGCAGCAGAAAAGACTGCGCCTTTCCACAACAACCACTTAGATGCGGCAACTACATTCTCTACGAAGGTGTATCGTGCATCGCCAGAAACAGGCCTCCCAAGAAACGTGGCTCTCTCGAAGGCATAGTGCCCACACCAAGAAGCAGGAGTCGGAGAAAGGTGGAATTTAGCATTGCCACAAGCAGGCATCCACCAGAAGCCGGAATCGCAGAAAGCTTCAATTTCAGGCAATTTCAATAAGCCGGCCCCCAACAATACATGATTGTCTCAAAGATGTAGTGCTCCCACCAAAAGCAGGAGTCGCGCGAGCCCAACAAGGAGCAGCGCCCCCGCCAGAAGCAAAAGTCGCAGAAACTTTGAATCTGAAACATCGCCGAAAGCCTCCAAGAAAACCTGACTTTCTCAACGACGTAGTGTCCCCACCAGAAGCATGAGCTGCAAAAAGCTTGAATTTGGTGTATCGCCGAACGTAAGATGTAGCGCCCCCACCAAAAGCAGGAGCCGCAGAAAGCTTGAAATTCAACACACGTAATCGCGAGAAACAATATTGTGCACAAGCAAAGCCTTGCGCTACGCCACGCAGTGTCACAAGACCGTTTAGGCAGGACTTTGTTTGCAGGCGTTTGAATATGCATGCGTGTGTGTGCGCGTGTGTGTATGTTCAGACACTGTGTATATATATATAGAGAGAGAG